CGTGCAAGACGTACCGGTGGATGCGGAGGGCGCCAATTACTTGCATTTGTCTTGACATCAGGTCGAACAGTTGGTGGGCGTCGAAGTAGTCCGTCGTTGCTGCCATCGTACTCCGGCATGTGGAGGTCCGCCGGCTGTAGCGGGGGCGGGGGCGTGCGCGTGCAAGACGTACCGGTGGGTGCGGAGGGCGCCAATGACTGTTGCATCCCATGGCGAGCCACCATCCCATGCGGTCTGGGCTGGCCGTGTTCTGTTTGCCGCCGCCGTCCAAAAACTTTACCGTGGCACCACCTCTGCTGCATGGATGGAGATGGGTGCCGTCGCAGGAAGGGATATAAAGGCCGGTGGTTTGGTCTCCGACGAGGCAGTAGCTGGTGCAGGCTTTGCTGATGGGATTCATCGGCCATGTGACGTATAGCGAGGTGTGAAGGGGGGCCTTTTTATAGACACACTGGTACTGCACGATGGCATGGTGGCGATGGGGTTGAGCTGTGCACCGCATGAGAGTTTTAGAATCATGGCGAAAAAGCGAGAGTGGAGAGGTTAGCGATGAGGGGTGGGCTAGACCTCGAGATATTTTAGATTGTCAAAGCCGACGAAACATACGTGCACACAATACAAATAATCAAAGCGGTAGAGGGCAGTCAATAAACCACAATAGCAACACGAAGGGCCGTAAAAAAAGTTTAAAAAATCCAGAAAAAAGAAACCCTTACGGCCCTAGAATTCTTATTATTAGTATATATAAAGTGTTTCTTAATTTTTCCGCCTGCTGTTTTTTGTCAAATTATTAAAATATAAAATCCCTCGTCCCCTGTCCTCTCTGGCTCTCTCTCCCCCGCCCCTCCGCGGAATCCCACTTCTACCCTTCCTCCCCTCCGCCCCCTTCTCCTCTCCATGGCCTCCTCCTCCTCACCCTCCCCGCCTCTCGCCTCTCCCTCCCGGACAAACCCTAACCCTCACGCCGGCGCAGATCCTCGATCTGATCCCTCCATGCCCGCCGCCAGCGACGGCGACGGAGCCTCCCCCGCGTCGACGGAGCTGCAGGAGGAGGCCGAGCTGGCCGCGCCGGGGAAGGAGGAGCTGGAGCCCCCTACACCTGCCGAGGAGACCCCAACCCCTAGGAAGACACGCCTGCCGCGCGCCTGCAACAGCAAGCCGAGGCTCCCACCCCCGCCGCCGCTAGAACGGCTGCGTCGCCGAGCTGCAGCGGGTGCCGACGCGGACGTGACGCCGCAATGCCGCGTGGTGACGCCGCTTGTGTCGGAGCCCGAAGCGCCCGCGGAGCTGGCACGGTGGCGACTCCGCTGTATGTGGGAGCTCGGCTCCGTCCTCAACTTCTTCCACGTGCGTGTCCCTTTTCTACCGTCATACCCCCAGCGGCCGGCAGCTCGGCGTACTGGGTTTGTTTCTTCGCTTAGGCTTCCAGAGCTTGGATTAGGGTTTGACGCGGCTGTAGCACTGTTTCTGGTGGCTTTAGGTGTTCCGCGCTTTGCTCAACATCACGGTGGAGCTCACGGCAGAGGATATCGAGGCGGCACTTATCACGCCTAACGGTACTCTATACGATCTTCACATGCCGCTGCTAAAGGTGAGCTCCTTACTAACTCGGTTGTTAAGTTTTACATTTTTTTGTGGACCCCTTTCCCTCTCTTCTCTATCTTGGTTGGAATAAATTCTGTAATTCTCAATGTGCGGGAGTGCAGCAGGGATCATTTTTGGTTCAGGATTAACACAAAATATGCTCTTTTGCTTGCAGGAAGTACAAGCTGTTTATTTTCTTTTTAAGGAAAATTTGGTTCCATGTAGGTCTAGGAATTTACTGCTAATCTTTAGTTTTCTTGCATTAACTATTTGAGCAAATGGTACAGTAGCAGCATGGCTGATGCCTGCTATTTCATTGCTGGAATATACTTCATTCATTGATTTACTAGAGTATATATGTATTTGATCACGTGCTCTGTTTATGCAATACATGTTGTTCAGCCAGCATCTCTAGGATTGGTTAGCATATTGAGTGCCTGTTCTGCTCTTCTGCCTTTGATCTATCTTTTATGCTCAAGCAGTCACACAAACTATGCAAACATCTTCCTTGGATTCTCATGATTGTTGATCACATGTGCAGTCAATTCCCCCAATAACCCGCATGGCGATGGGGCGCGGAACCTGGGTAACCGTCCTATGTAGAAAACTAAGGGATTGGTGGCATTGGGTATATTACTGATACCCTATGCTGCAAACAATTTAGTGCCAGTATTGATATTCCATTCAATTGATAAACTAACAGAGATCCAAACTGCAGGTTGCAGAAGGTGATCTACCAATAGTTGCATCACATGGGTTAGTCCTGTACATAAGAATTGCTTGATCAGATATTCTGGTTCAGGTTTACCTTCATAGGTTTTTAATTGCCCCATCTTGTGCAGAGCTGAAATTGAAATGTACAAGGAGCTTGAACCATCGACTCGTTTACTGATCTTGAAAGCGATATGTGACATACGTGTCGAGGTTCGTGCTAATTTTGTTACCATCCTAGGGAGGCAATGAAGTTTTTCAAAGTGCCAATCTTTTCAAATGTGCATCGCGGTAGAGAACTGTTACACCATTTTGATGTTGTATGTCCCACATGTGTTTTGTGTTGCGTATATCAATCCGAACTATGACTGACAGTTTGAACCGAGTTCCATTATGTTGATTCAGTTTGTTAAAAAGCTTATTTCACTTATAGACGAATAAAATATCAACAGTGCAATGCGACCAATTTTCGTCTGTTTTGGCATATATTATTACAGCCTCCGTGAACAAATATAAGAGCGTTTAGATCACTAAAGTAGTGATCTAAACGCTCTTATATTTCTTTACAGAGGGAGTAGAAGTTTAGAACTAAGAATTTGGTAAATTTTTGCTGTCGATAAGGCATTCAGATGCCTGGCCATAGCACTTCCCATTGTGGGTTTCAGCAGCAGCAGCTGTTTATTCTAGTATATGAAGTTGGCAAAGGTAATGGACATTGTTGCGCCTAGACTTTTTTGAATATTAGTTGATGCTTATCACTCAGAAGGACAACTTTCGATATTTGGGGTCAATGTTGCACGCCTAGACTTTTTTGAATATCAGTTGATGCTTATCACTCAGAAGGACACCTTTCGATATTTGGGGTCAATGCTGCAGAAGGATGGGGGTATTAATGAAGATGTGAACCATCGAATCAAAGCCGGATGGATGAAGTGGCGCCAAGCTTCTGGCATTCTCCGTGACAAGAGAGTGCCACAAAAGCTAAAAGGCAAGTTCTATAGGATGGTGGTTTGACCCGCAATGTTGTATGTCGCTGAGTGTTGGCCGACTAAAAGGCGACATGTTCAACAGTTAGGTGTGGCGGAGATGCGCATGTTGCGATGGATGTGTGGCCACACGAGGAAGGAAAGGATCGAGTCCGGGATGATGATATACGAGATATGAGTTGGGGTAGCACCAATTGAAGAGAAGCTTGTCCAACATCGTTTGAGATGGTTTGGGCATATTCTGCGCAGGCCTCCAGAAGCTCTAGTGCATAGCGGACGACGAAAGCGTGCGGATAATGTCAAGAGAGGTCGGGGTAGACCGAATTTGACATGGGAGGAGTCCGTGAAGAGAGATCTGAAGGATTGGAATATCACCAAAGAACTAGCCATGGACAGGGGTGCGTGGAAGCTTGCTATCAGGGGCGGCCCCGGGCACCCAGGGCCCAGGCCCGGGGCGTGAGAAGTGTTTTAGCCCTATACCTATGCATATTTTGCACTGGGCCTGGGGCGCAGCCCAGCATAGCCTGGGCACACACAAAGCCCGAAGCCTCGTACGAACGCTCCCTTCCAATCGTCGCGAACTGCCGACCTAGAGACAGATCGCACGTACGTACCGCCGTTTTCCCTGCTCGGCGCTGCTGTTCGCCGTCTTCCTCACAACCTGGACTACCCCTCCCCTCCCCTGGGCGCTGCACGCCCTCTTCTGTTGTTGCCGCCCGGGCCTCAAATGTCGTATTGTTGTGATGCTGTTGTGTGCCTGTCCCTGCATCCGCAGCGCGCACATGATTCCTCCCCTACTGCTAGCCTCCCTGGCCTAAGCCCCGGCCCCTGGCCCTGGTGGTGTTGCTTCTGCAGCCGCCCGGTACTCCATTCTCCAACATTGGTAGGTTCTCTATGCCTAGAATTATCAAAAATTGCATTGAAATTTACTGTGTATATGTATTGATTGATCTTAAATTGATGAATTTTTATATCAATTCCATTTCATGTTTTAGAAAATATAGATGATGAAGGAACTGTTTTTCATCGGTGCTCATAAGTCCTGACCGGAGTGTCTATTTTGTTGGATTGTTATACACTGAGTTCGTATTCTAGTGCAATTGCGTCATATATTTGTATGCTTTTCATATGTGGTATTTTTACAATAGTGGAGAACTTCTGCAATTTTTATGTGTGATGGTAAAGTTTCCATGTTGCCGAAAAAAATTTAGGCCCAGGGTTTACATCAATCCTGGCTCCGCCACTGCTTGCTATCCATGTGCTAGAACCATGAGTTGGTTGTGAGATTTTATGGGTTTCACCTCTAGCCTACCACAACTTGTTTGGGACCAAGGATTACGAGTCGACGAGTCGTTGAGTCGTTCCGAGGTTGAGACTCATAGACTAATCGGACTAGTGCTAGACTAGTCGACAAAGTAATGTAGTAGTCAACTACTAATACCTAGTAGCAGTATGTAGTAGTATGTACAACACATTACAGTATATACAATAAAACCAGCAGTGCTAGCCAACGCTCGCCAGGCCCAGCCCAGTGCCGCTCAGCACGCCACCCCCAGCTGGCCCATTTGGGCCCAAGTAGCCAGCCTACTTCCAATCCCAGCCTCTATAACCCTAGCTCTCGATCGATCCCGTCGCCGCCGCCTGCGCCATCACGCACAAAAGCACGTACGCGCACGACCCACGCCTCCGGCCGCCGCCGCCGGCGAGCCTGCTGTGCATCCTCTCCTCTCTCTCTCTCTCTCTCTCTCTTTCTTCTTTCTCGTCACAGGGCCACACGCGCCTACGGGGCATGGCCATGGCCGCCGCCCAAGCACGAGCTCCGGCCGGCTGCCGCGCCTTGCTTCGCCATCCGCCGTCCCGGCGGCGGGTCAGTGGGTGCTGGCGGTGGCCTCGTCCAGGCGGCTCGTTCTCATAGCTCGCTCTCCAAGTTTCCCCTCCCAAATTTGAGTCGAGCGACTCAGACAGCAGGACTACTCCAGACTAGTCGTAGACTAGTCTCTCGACCGCTCGACTCATCGAATTAGTCTACACGAGATTCGCAGTCGACACCACAGTTGCGACTCATAGACTAGTCCATCGACTAGTCCTTCGACTCGTAATCAGTGTTTGGGACTAAAGGCTTTGTTGTTGTTGTTATAGTTGATGCTTATCACTGCTGAAACAGCTTGGCAAGCGTGAAATAATGTTCATGTGAAAAATCTCAAATTTCTGAACAAAATATGCCTTCTTTATCTTGTTAACGCATTATGTTTTTTCTTGTTCTTTTAACCTTGTGGTGCTCATCTGCATAAAACTAAAGTACATATATTTTCCGCATGAAGGACATAACATGTGGAAGATTGACAACATACTAAAAGGCAGACTTGAACTTGATTAGTTTGTATGTCAAATGAGTAATTTAATTGGCACATTTGGGAATAAATATAGTTTTGTAGAGGGGAGGAACCCTGCAATAGATCTTGCGCTTTGTAATAGAAAATTGTAGTGAAGATAATTTATAGGTGCTGATTTTTGAGAAACACCATATGCCTGGTAGCATACAGTTAATTTCTCCATTCCTGTAGAAATTTAAAATAAAGGAGAAGAGAGTCATAGGGATGTGTTTTATTGATACTTCCTATCTTTGTAAGGGATAATTGCAACCACAAGCTGTGAGTTCTGTGCTATTTTTGATATGTTCGAAAGTAGGTTACAGTTTAGGTTTGAAGCTAGCTGCATTGCATGTCTTTTAACTTAGGTGTGATGGCTGACTATTGCATTTTGCAGCAAGATGATATACGCAACTACATTGACACTAACGTAAAGCGTGGTTATGACCTTTCTACCTTCCGTAAAGAACGAATTGGGGGAGATTCCCTTGGAATCTCATATTGGTGGGTCAATTTTTTTCTTCCGTGTTTTGTGAAAAGCATTTTGAAAATTTCATCCTTCGGATATTATGTATGGTCCGTGCTAATCTAGTCATGCAAAACAGGTACGAAGATGATCCAATTCTTGGACATAGATTGTATCGTGAAATTAGACGAGTGGAACAGATGAAGAAGGAACCTGGGAAGAGATTGAAGGGAAGAAGAATTTCAACTCCTCCAGTTGTGTCGTATCATTGGGAAACCGTTGCGTCCACTTTTGAAGAATTTGATGATGTTGCAGTAAGTTGAGTTCGTAATATGTGCTCCATACAGTTAGTTGCTAAGTTGAAATTGGTATTCCTCCAACAATCCTAATTCTTTCCGCGAACAATACATGAGCATATCTTGAATCAAACATAAACATCATAGAGGTTATATAACATGGAAGTGTTCTATGCCGTTATGATTAGGATAGTTGCTACTGACAGTTTACACTTGGTTCTGTTCACAAATTTACCTACTCTATTTGTGTTATGGCTCCTTGATCTGATGTTGTAGCTTAGGCCGGCGAGGAGGCGCAGTGCCCATGCACAGAACTAGGAGGGTAATGGGTAGAAGATAGAGAACAGGGATAGGGGAGATTTAACATCATTGATTGCTTCCTCAAACCAACGTGACTGCCTCCTATTATATAGGATGGCTTTGCACGAAACATTATTTGAGCACAAAAAAGATACCTCTTGTCTAATACGGACTCACCCTGTCCTGAAAACTGTTGCCTACAAACAGACTATATACCAATCAGGTATCAATCCTAAGTTGGTATCATCATAGGGACTAGACTTAACCAGCTGGGCTCCAGCTGTAGGTTAAGGCGGGCGCTAGGCACCAACCAGCTGTAGCTAGCCAGGAATCATTGCCCTGATGACTGTCTGATCCAGCGATATCGCTCGTTCGATTCGCGATACGTAGCATGACCCCCACCCCTGACGTTGGCACCACTGATGCTGCGATGCAGCATGGTTGCTTCGCCTCCAGCGCACACATAGCATGGCCAGTGCAGCACCATTGCAGCACCGCCGGCACCCCATTCCGCTCGTCGCAGCACCACACCTCGTCTCCTCGCTCGGCTGACAGCTGTGAGCTGCCACTGGCAGCACCACTGTCGGTTTGCAGCACAACAGCACACGCTACCACCCCTTGCAGCACCGTCACGCAGCAACACATGCTACCGCCCATTGTATCACTGTTGCGCAGCTGCTGCCCTGCTGATGTCCTCGAAGCACCGGCGAGATTCATGGAGCACTAGCCGCCTGCTTGTTGCACCCCCGACTTGTTCCCTTGCAGTAGTTTGGAGAGCGCCGGCCTCGCAGCAGGAGTCGCAGGCCGTCGTTTGGAGCACTGCTTGCCACGTAGTGCTGCTCCCTGCTCGTAGCACCCACGACCGCCTAGCAGCAGCCATCGCCGGCTCGCCGTGAAGTACCATGACGCTCCCGTCACAGCAGCCCCTCTACCTATGCTCACAAGCTCGCTGCTTGCAGCATCGGGTGTTCCCGCTCGGTGCTGCGTTGCTACAGTTCGTCGCCGGCTTGTGCGTGCTTCCTCGCGGCCTTGCATGTAGCCCTGGCTAGTGCCCCAGCTTGCAGCACACCGCTGCCCCTATACCCACCCCCACGCAGCACCCCCGTTCGCCTCATGCACAGCATCGCGCCCATGGCTTTGCAACATCTGGGGGCCCTTTCAACAGTGAATCCGCAGCAAGGAAGTGATGGAACGGTGGTTGCTGCAGCACTTGCAATATCGGTTCGGCGTGCTTCCATCACCGGATGGTCCCCCTTGCAGCAGCCATGGTGGCGGTGGTGTGTTGTTGCAGCAATCATGTGTGGCGGTGGTTCGTGCTTGCAGCGGCGGGGTGGCCCCAAGGAGCATCGACGGCTGTGGCGTGCTGCGCCTGGTGGTTGCCTGCGAGACAGGGAAAGGGACGGGCAGATGATGAGGATGGAAGACAATAGAGATAAGGCTGGCAATTCTGAAAGCGGCGACGTGTGGGGTCCAGAACACACCTGGCTGGCGCGCGACATGGTTTGTCGTAAATGCTGGGAGCCAAGAGAGACCGGTTGGCGCCGCATGATCGCACGAGATCCAACAATGCCCGAGGTGGCCGATGGGGCAACTGTGCAGTTGGTTGAAAAGCAATTTCTCTAGTTTAATCCCCATATAACATTTCTCCCTTGTGATACAGCTTGTCCTCGAGTTGAAATGAGGGAAATGCCTCCTTGAATTCTCCATTGGTTCCCATGTAGCATGGTGATCAGCTCGCCCTGGCCACTTAACAAGGATGCCAAGGGCCACGACGAAGCGAAGTCTGCAACACCTTCTCTGGAACAGGGAGAGCACACCCATCTTCAATGGGAGGAAGTGTCCGTGACTCCAAGTTGGACATGCGGGTGGCTAAATTGCAAGGTGCTGCTCCCGCACCTGTTGTTGGTGCTGGCGGGCACTTCCCTCCTGTTGCTTCTGCCAGAGTTCCATGTGGGACATCATCTCATGCATGGAACATTACAGCATCCGGGTTTATGGGCCTCCATCTTCAGAACTTGTCATGGTCTCTGATACCAAGGTGTTATGGCGCCTAGACCTGGAGTAGCTTCCGGACCGACCGGAGGCTGGCGAGGAGGCACCGTTGATGGCGGACAGTACCCGGAGGATAACAGGGAGGAGAGAGAACAGAGATAAGGGAGATTTAACTTTATTGATTGCCTCCTCAAACCAACGTGGTTGCCTCCTATTGTATAGGATGGTCTTACAACACACGCTATTGGAGCACAAAAAAGGACTATGCCTCTTGTCAGGGTCTTGCCCTTGCGTAAAGACTGCCACTTAAAAAAGACCATATAGCAATCAGGTACCAATCCTAACCACGCAGACGACTTAACCAGCTTGGCGCAGCTGTAGGTTAGTCGCCACATAGCAATTTGGTTATTATCTTATGCATATAGTAGTATTACCACAAGAAGTTGTGGCTAACAGTTTTTAGTAGGGGCAGTGCTACGCGTCCGCTGGATGATAAACCGATTAGATCGGCCGCGTCGACGGCCATCGGATGCCGCTCGAAACAGCCGTCTGATCTACCGTCCCAGCCAACTGAGGACCTTTGCAACAGCGAGTTTGTTGCGCTCAGGGGCTTTGCAACAAGGACCTTGTTGCAAAGGTCTACCGCACCGCTGCCCTGCCATGGCCTAAGCGCCTCGGCCATGGAGCGCTGCTGGCCGCTGGAGTTGTCGCGCCTCCTCCGACTTAGCACCCCGAGCAACTGCCTCTACTCCAGCACGACGACGACGAGCTCTCACGTCGGGCACTCCTCTGGCTATTTCTGCAACCGAAGTATGTTTCTGGAACATGCGTCGTGTTGCAATGCTTGGCCTCGTACGCTCTAACGCCGGGCCCTCCTCCGGCGCTTTCTGCAACCGGGGCTATGTTTTTGAAACAAGACCCCTGTTGCAGAAGAAAAAATATTCATCATTGAACCATTTTTTTTCTTTCTGAAACAAGACCTCAGTTGCAGAAACCTTCTGAAACTAGACCATGTTGCTGAAAAAAACTTCACCACCGAACTCTACTTTTTTTCTTTTCAAACAAGACCTCTGTTGCAAAAACCTTCTGAAACAATATGGTTGTTGCAAAAATAAATAAATAAGAGAACAAGCTGCACGGGACTTGTGGCCAGCACGAGCGCTCGATCAAGATCAATCCGACGGCTGCACAGGCGATGGACGCTGTGCGTGCATCAGCCGGCTGGAGGATAGCATTTTCCTTTAAAAGGAGAAGAATGTCGGAGACATATTTTGATGTGCCTGCCAGCTCATAGTATGGATTGATCTACATGAGTACATAAAGCAGACACTTGATAGAAGAGAAAGCATGGGGTATAAGGTATTAAGTAAAACTTCTGGTCATGTCGAATAGAAAATAACATTACATACCTGCAGCGCGCTTTCTTATGTGACATTACTGCCGTATGAAACTGATTCCTAACATTTCTGAACTTGCCTGAAGTTGTTTTAAGCATCTCGAATATTGTGGCACCATCTCGTATTCAGTTGTCTGCCCACGTGTTTTCATACTGTGTTAATGTTAGACAATATAAGGTGTCTAATCATGTATATACCTTAATAATGTGCCAAGATTTACCTAATTGTGAGTACAGTTGACTAACTTCCATGGAGCTCTACAAAGTTAACTCAGAAGGAAATGTTGACATGGAATGTTAATCAGCTGCTATTTCTGAGTTAATTGTCATTGTTAATCTTATTATTCCCTTGTTCATTAGTTATAGTAACTTTTCTGTCTTGTCTTATTTAGGAAAAACTATCTTCTAGTCGGAACAGGACAGAGGTTTCCCTTGGCAAGAAGTTGAAGATTGAATATCTTCCGGAGATCGAAAAGATTCATAAAGTACATATCTTGTTTAACTCAGCCTAATATGTTTGTTTTGCTAGCTGATAGCTGTTTTGAACCTGTTAATCACAACCATTTTATTGTACAGAAGAAGGAGAAGATGCTCAAAAAGCAACAGAGAGAAGCTCTCCTCCTCGATAGTTACTTGACATCAGATATTACCACTGGTCGATCTCTTCGTGATAGAAAGCCTGTAACATATACTTTTGGTAAGTCCCCACTGAACTAAGCATTATTGTTTGTTCAGATCTAATTCTAAGTACCACTGTAAACATCACTCGAGTTGGAATCTGAATTGCCCGTCTCACACAGGATGGTGTTATCCCATTAATACATCTTCAGAATGCTGGTTAGCTAAAATTTCCCTATTGTTTTGAACACAGTGGCACTTCTTGTAGGGCCTGTTTGGGACTGCCCCACTCCATCAAAATCAGCTCCATTCCACCAAATCTACTTTGGAGCAGTTCCACCCAGGAGTTGCAGCTTTACCATAGAGCAGTTTATTCTGTTTGGCTTCCAGCTTCAGT